AATTTTCTTTAAAATCTGGATTATCCCCAGAGCTGCTGCTGCTTCTCCTTTCTCCGAGTCTAAGCCTGTGAGAAGCCCAGCATACAAAAAATCCCTCTGTGCTCCCTTCTGGAGGAAGGATGCAGTTAAAGTCCTCCCAAGCAAGTGTCCAAGCACACGCCTGGACCCAAGTGGAGTGACCAGAGAAAAGGTGTCTGTCTGGCCATGGGACTTACAGCAAGGAGCAGAGGTTTGCATGGCCTCTAGGAATGTTTCAGTGGTGATGTGAGTGTAAATTCAACATGGGACTTGTGGCTTTCCTGCAAGCAGGAGAGAGTTAAGCTTCCCTCCTGGAAATGAAAGAGCTGGCAAGGATGTGTGCTCCTCAAGCCTGGACGATCCCCTGGCTTGCCAGGCACTGCTCCAGCTCAAGCTGTAGGCTCTGAGCTCTGGTTTGGGATGTGGTGAGAGGGACTGACATGCCAGGTTCACTCATCCATCACCTGCCACCTCTTGTTGCAGGGAAGGATGGTGGAGAGCAGCTAGTGTTGTCTACAGAAGAGGCCTCCAGGCTCTCAACTCCTCCCTTTTCCTCCCAGTCTGCTCCCCTCACACAGCCCCAGCAACACTTCCTCCAGCTCTCTGCCCCTACACAGAAGATGGGACAAGGCTCACAGCCTGCTCTGGCTCTGACCAACTGCTGGATTGCAGTTCCCTCCATCACTTGTCCCTCTAGGACAGAAGGACCCAGCATGTCCCCTGCCACGTCCCCACCAAGTCCTTCCACAGAAACAGCTTGGTACAGCTGGAGACCCAGCACTTGCTCTCTACAAGAGATCTGCTTTCTCCCTGACCCACAACTGAGGCTGCTCTCACAATGGCAGGGCTGGAAGGAAGATGCTCTTTCTGAAAAGGGGACTCCTGGGTGGACATGGCTCCTTTTCCCAGGTGTGACCACAAGGCCTCACTGCACCCACTGCCACGGGACAGTTCAAGTCTGCACTGCTTCTTTATGGGAAGAACTTGCTGATCCCATGTGGTGCACCACACAGCTTCATGGCACCTACACACTGCTCTACAGCCTGGCTGCCACAGGTTACCTTCTCTATCAACCCCAGGACAGCAGAACTCTGAAATGTGTGTCTAAGCAACACGTGCTACGTATTAACACTGACAGGTACCAAAGCACAGCTGCAATGCTGAAGGAGGAGATGGTTCATCATCCCCAATACCAAAGGTGGAAAATGATACATTCAATCCCCAGAACTAGTTCCAGCAGCTCTGGTTGCTCCAGTTTTCCAAGGCAGCCTCAAGAACAAAGCTATTTAAAGAATGGTAAAGATGTCTTAATAAAATGTGAAAAACAAGGACACAGCTTGAGGACAGACTGACATGTGACTGTGAAAAAAGAGAAGGAAGAATATGGGAAGATCTTAGGTGTAGGTAACCATGAAGAATGATGCTCCCAGAGGGGCCCATTCTCCATGGCAGCCACAGCTCTAACTCCTGGTGTCCAGATCCAGTGGGCAGCAGCACAGTGAGGATCATCAGGAGGCTGGAAATAGACAGAGGCTGTAGCACCCATCTTTCACCACACACACCTTTCACACATCCCAAGGCAACAAGCTCCAGCTTTGGTTCACATGGGGCTGAGGGAGAGCATCCACTGGACAACCTCCCCTAAAGGGCTGGGTGCTGCATATTGTCCAGTGCTTCACTGGGAGTCCCTCTCTGTTCTGCTGGCCACACACAAGGGCTCAGCTCCAAAGAGACCCCAGAAGAATGGCAGAAGTGCTGCCAGCCCAGCTGCAGGCTGATGGGACAGTGTATGGTGGCAAAAAGGGACTGTGACACACAGACCTGCCCCTTTGTGCCAGCAGGGAAGAAGAATCCAGGAAGGGCAGCTGGAGTTGCCACATCTATGCTTGGCACAGACGTGAGCCACAGAGCTGGCCCTGGTCTGTGCAGCTCCCACAGCACCCAGCACTGCAGATACCACTGTGGTCATGCAGCTGAGACTGTGGGAGGCAAAGAAACAAGAAAGGATTGCTGGTAGCAGTAAGGAATTTTCCCCAAACCAGCTGGCTCTGGGAACACACTGAAGGATGCAGAGGAAATAAGACTGCTGCTCTCCTTGCTCACAGGAGAGCTTGACTGAGAGCTCTCTCAACCCTCTAAGCCTTAAAATAGCTTTGGTTAAATACTTGCTAAGGTAGGCTCATGGAGTAGCAAGAGAAATCATCTGGAACAAGATGATTCCAAGAGGAACAAGAAGAAGATTTGGCTCCCCTGGTACAGGAGAGATATCCACAAACTGGAATGCACCCAGCAGAGCCACTACAATGTTCACAGGCTGGAGCACCAGGTGTATGAGGTGGATACTCCTCCAAGAAACACTTATCCAGTGCTACTCCAGTGCATCTCACTCCAAAGTTCTCCCAATGTATTCTTGATGCTCTCACTCAGCTTGTGGGGGCGGCATGAACTCTTGTTCATGGGGAGAGAAGCCTGGTGATGTAATTCAACTCCATGAACCTCTTTCCACAGAACTCCTCTAGGACACTTTAACCAAGGCTCCAGGTCTGCAGTTCTCAAAATGCTCCTCTCAAAAGGCCACTTAACAGGCAGGACATTGGACTCAAACCCAAAGCCCAGGATGTGCAGGCCTGAAATCAGGTTCCACCAGGTCCCTGTGAAACATTTTCCTTCTGCAAGGCCTTTGCTGCAGTGCCAAGTGTCAGGAAGGTGGGTGGGGTGTCCAGAGCACAGAGCTGGAGTGTTTGCTGCTCTCTAGACCACATTCAGTGTTATAGACCCCATTTCACTTCAGCTGTGCTTTTAAAAAGTAATAATCCAAGTTTCAGCTAACATGAACCATCAAAGAGCAGCCAGGGAGATTCAAAGGCAAGAGGCTTTGAAATACAACCTGAGAAAACCACATCAGAAATCCCATCTAGGAATCAAGGGTAGGTCAGGGCCTACATGCCACCACACACCACAAACATGCTTATCTTCCCCATTCTGAGTCATGGCCACATTAATCAGAATCTGAGTACAAGAAGCAGAAACCACTGGTGAAACCACCAGAACACTTGAAGAAAATTAAAAAAAACCAAATAACATCCATCACACATTTTTTGGCACCAAAATACCAGATATTTAGGAACATCTCTTGGCCGATTTTTTTTTGGTAGCAAAACCAAAATAAAAAAGGCGCTCTAGGACAGTCAGCAAAGCTTTGCTGAAAGACCAAATGGGGCACTAATATGACACATGATGAAGAGACTCATTTAAAGAAACCACAAAGAGAAGGAACCAAAAAAAAAACTCAGAAAGAGATAAATATGATGTTGCTACAAAGATGAGAGAGGTCTGACTGCAGCCAGACTGCTGCAAAGTGGTGACTGACAGCAGAGGAAGCTGCCAAGAGGGGAAGGCAAAGTAAGGTCCTGGAGTATTTCAACCTCAGTACCCAGAATCAGCCCAGCAGTGTGCTGCCAGCCTGAGTCTAAGGAATGGAAAGCCTGCAGGAGAATCCTACCAGGCAGAGTTCACAGCTGGGACCAGAGGCTTTGGGAAGGAAACCTGCTCACTGAGTTACCTCTGCACTTGCAGCAGGGCAAGGACAGCAGGCTGGGCTAAGATCCATCAGCAGAGTTGAAAATCAACAGATGAGCTTTCAGGCACATGAGCTGTTCCCCAGAGCTGGAAGAGAAGACCCAGACTAGCAAGTTAAATTCTTCTTGGTGCAGCTCTCTGTCTCCCTGGAAGAAAGGCTGTGGTAGAACTCTATCTGCTTTTTGCAGCTGTACCTGTGATCTGATAGAAGTATCTCCTCCAGCTCTAAACCTCCTGATTTCTTAGACCACCATGGCTCTAGCACTGCCCCTACACACTGCACACCTTCACCCAAGGGAGGGATAATGTTCCCAACCATCTCCAACACCATCTGCACATTCACTGCCACAGCCTGCCTAGGCACCTGCCCCTCTGCTCTGCCTTGATTTCAGAGCTCATGTGCCAGCTGCAAATCCATCCTGCAAACCCAGAAAATCCTTAAAGCTTTGGGCTGCTGCTACTTTCCTTCTCAGTGGCACACGAACTCTCTTGGTGCTTGAAGCAACCTCAACAAAACCTGTTCATCTTTCACTGACCTTCAAAAACAAAAAAAAATTTGTGAATTGTAACATTTATGTTTGGTTTGAGCTCCCTTGGGTCCTCCCCAGAGCTACAGACCTGAAATGAATTTGGTGCAGAATTCCAACTCCTCCTGTTCAGCCAGGCTGAACCTGCCATCTCCTAATGCTACAGCAGAGGATGCAAAGCACATGGTGCTGCCAGGCAGCCTGGCCAGGTAACAGAACATGCTCAGAAACACTCACAGGCGGTCTGAATGCTTGGTAGCACTCAAGTCCCTGGGCCTGGCACACAGCATGGACACATTAGTCCATCTTACTCAGAGGTTACTCACCCACAGACCCTTGCTGGTCTCTTTTGGGCCTGAAATTTTGATAATTATCTTAATAATCCCTAAAGAAACCCTGCTGCTCCTTTCTGAATGGCTCAGGCCCAACAGAGCTGGTACTGGGCCCGATCTGCAGCAACCTGAGCTCAGCTTTCCCACCTGCAAGCACAAGCATGGCTCAGCCCAGGTTGTTCCTGACACTTCCAAAATTTAGAAGTGCTCATTTAGATCAGTTACAGGGATGGGAAAGGGCAGGAAATACTGTTATTACTGTGCTAGTGGCAGAGCCCTCCTCCATGGAGAAAAAGGGGGATTTGCTACTTAATTCAAAATTGTCAGCCCACCAGGGCATCACCCACAGATGTTTCTGGCCAACTCACATAACCTGGTTCTACCCATACAGTGGCAGATGGCTTCATATTCATCAGTCCTGTCCCTCCACCTGTTCAAAGAGCTGAATTTAACTCTTTGTCAGGGTCGTGAGATGCTTCTACAGCACAATCATCAACGTGGGCAATGTCAATCTTCTACTCTTCCCACTCACAAAGCCAAGATTGAGAGCCTTGGGTTTAATAAACATGATTCAAATAAAATTAAAAAAAAAAATCCCTCTGAACTGCCACTGTGAGAAGAGTTCGGATTACTAGCACGGATGATGCTGTATGTGCACGATGGAGGGAGAAGGGAAGAAAAGAACAAGCTGTCACCAACTTGATGAGCTTCCTCAGTAAATCAGCATAAACCAGCTCAGCAAAACTCTCCAGATAAAATATTGGTGGAACCATGAGAAACAACTCAAATCAAAACAAAAGAGAAAAATCCCTACATCAGAAGGCGCTACATTAGAATAACCAGCGAAATACCGAGTGCCGCTGGAGCCGCAGCAGTGGCGGGGAGACGGGGCAGAGCTGCCGGTCTTCCCGGGGTCAGGAATGGCCACACAGTGAGGGACTCACTCAATCCTTGCACAGGCAGTGTGTGCGTGCTAGAGGGGTGTCGGTGGCAGGGAGGTCAGGCTATCCAACGAGGTGGTGGTGCAGAGTGGCAGCAACAGAGGGTGAAGGGCAGCACTCCACGACGGCAGCTCCGTCCCGCTCGGGTGTCAGTGCAAATAATCGTCTACTCTGGCAAAGGAGCAGGAGCCCAGGCCCACGCGAGCCATGAGCCGCAAACACTCCGAGGCCTGGCCCAGGGCGAGCATCAGCGGGGGCTGCTTTGGCAGGTTCTGAGATTCTGTGGGGGCAAAGAAACAGAGCAGTTCAGGAGGGGTGTTCTGGCTGGTGCTGCCTCACCTGCCACTCAGGCCTCTCTCCGGCCCAGCTGGGCACCAAGCCCAGATCCCCGACAGAAGGTGCTGGCTCTGCAAGGAAGCTACTCCCAAATACTGCCAACTCTGTGCCACCACACATGACACATCCCACAGCTCAGCAGGGCCTTTGAGAGAGTGCTGCTGTGGTGGCCAGAGCTCCTGCTGATGCTGTTTGCCAGAAAACCTTAAAACATGAGATATCAAAGCATGGAGGAAAAAGGAAAGGCAGGAGAATCTGGTCCCAGGTGGAAGGCAACCTCTCCATTTTTCCCACTTGTGCAAGGCTGCACAGCAGCCCAAGCCCTGGATGAACTCACTCCCTCATCACCATGTCCTACAGTGGCATTTTTCTGAGGGAACCCTCAGCTGAGCTAGACAAGGTGTCTGGTAACCTTGCGATGAAGCATGTCCAGACACCACATCTCCCTGGTGTGGAGCCCTCAGCAACTTGTCTTTGCTCCTCAAGCAATGACTGTCAGGGGAAGGGACTCTCCTTCCCAAAACATGCAATTTCTGATTCTCAACTCAGTCAGAACAGGAGGCCTCATGTCCATCAAGTTGTTCCTTTCCCCAGAAGATAATCTCTAAATCTGCTTCTGGAACATTCAGTGTGAGGTGCACAGATGCCAAAGGAAATCTGCCTGGGCACAGCGAGCCAGACTATACAGAGGTTGCACCTGTACTCCCTCCCAGAAAATAGGATGATACCAGGGCTGAACTCTGCTAATCCACACAGCCGGAAAAGAGCCCTGGTAAAGTCCACAAAGTTATTCAGGTGGGTTCAGAGTCATGAAGGGAGAGGGGTGGGAAATGCATCAAAGAGATCTCAGTTTCTTCAGTAAGCAGGGGAGGAAAATCCTGAGGCACATCCTTGGGAGCAGCATTAAGGAAGATGCAAGGAAGGGAGTCACAAGGAGAGTGTATCAGGGAATCTGTTCTCTGCAGGCTTCCCTCCTACTCCCCTTCCTGCATTACTGCCCTGACAGTCCCCAGCAACAGAAAGGCCAAAGCTAAACAACAAGTATTTCTGAACTTTCCCTAACACTCCCTGACTTGCCTGCCACAGGACAGCCCTTGAGAAGAGGTATGTCTGGGGAAACTCTCCCACAGGAACCAGATCTTACCCAAAATAGCACTATTGAGAGCAGCACACACAGGTTCCCTCTGGATCGGGTCCAGCTGTTGGCCGACGGGGCAGTTCCAAGGGTCTGAGTAAGCTAACAAGCTAAAGGCGTCCTGTGAGAGAGCAGAAAGGCACAGTGAGGTCAGGCAGGGCTGCAAACACACAGGAAAACCACCAAGTCCAGCTGGGGCACCTCCTGCAATCACCATGGTGACAGGTGCCTACCTCCTGAAAAGAAATGGCCCTTTTCTTCTTGGCTGCAAGGGACCACAGTGGGCCATCAAGACAGTGGATTAAAGAGGGTGCCCCTCCACCTGGTAGGGTAGTCAGCACAGGAAGGCAGGTAGAGTGCCTCCTGAAGAGAAGAGGAGCATGCAGTTGCTCCAGGAAGCCAGACAGGATCTGTATTTCTTCTCTCACGTGCTGAGAATTGGGTGTAGAAGCTCTACATTCATGTTTTGATCTCTGATCCCCATGTAGGTCTGTTCTTGCTCAGTAGGTGCAGAAGTGGGGCCTACCCAGGTGTCTGCAAAGGAACCCACAACCCCAGACCTGGCACAGAGAACTGCTGCAATCCAGCACAAGGCCTAGGCTTACCTGAAGCATCTTTTTGTGCATGGTGTTCTTCCCATACTCTCTGCAAAGCTGCTCGCTCAGGATCTGCAGCTCCCGCCCAAACTGGATCATTCTCTCTGTGGCAGCGTGGTTCCCTCCACAGAGCTGCCTCTGGGGGCAGCTGTCTTCTAAGGAGAAGCAGTGGAGAAGGAACAATCATCGTGCATTCCCCATCAATGCCCACTGTGTGTCAGGATACCCACAAACTCCTTCCCCTTCTGGAGCAGGTAGCTGCTTCCTGCCCAAGTTTATCCCAGTGGAAGCTTTTTCTGATCCCTGCCCTACAACAGACAGTAATGGGTTTTGTCATAGAGCCTGGTAGATATAGGGAAGATTTGAGCTTTTTAATGCCTGAGAACTACCTAGAAATCAAGTCTCCTGATAAAATCCTGGGAGCTTGCAACTCCCATCTGTTACCCTTTCATGTGTGTAGCACATCATATATAACCCAGAAACCCCTAGTCTAACAAATCCTGGACTCAGAAAACTTTCAGTCAGAGATGTCAACACCACCAGCTTCCCAGTAATAGTGGCCACAAGAGCCATTATAACTGGATGAATCAGTTTCAGAGGTAGTGTAGCTGATTCATCTGCTCCCTCCTGGCTAAAGCACCCACAAACAAGACAGCCATGGCTGACAGCTGTGCTGAGGCCACTGCAGCTGGACATCACCAGCCTGGCACAGCCCAGCTCAGCTCCCCAGCAGGCATTTCTGCCAGGTCTGCTCTGAGCTCAATTTCATGACCAGAACGGAACAAACCTTTGACTCCCGTTGCTTTCCCTGCTCCAAAATTTCACCAGCACTGCTGTGAGTATATGAAAAGCCAGACCAAGTTTTAATTCCAGGACAGATTAATTTTCCCCATGAAGCAGGCACTTCATTCATTGGGTGGGGAAAGGAGCCCAAAGTATATACTTTTTCCCCACAGTCCAATCACACTTTCAACTTTTGATACCAGCTCCTTTTTCCCTGTATCCCTCCTGCCTCTGAGGACCTACCCATGCTGGACTCATCTGTCTGCAGGATCTCTTCGTGTTTGTAGGTGCCGTTCATTATCCTGGTAGATGAATTTTCCAGGACTCCGTTGGGGTAGTGCTCAGCCTCCATTTCCATCTCACTGTCACTGAGGTGAAAGAAGGGAAGAAAGGTCTAAATTAAAAAGTGAAGAAATGAAGAGCTTATGTGCCAAACAGTGCCCAGCAATGGCCAGCACACCAGGAAAGGTGCCAGTTGGACTACAGGGAGCCAGATGGTCCAAGTCAGTGATGCAAAAATTGTTGCAGGCTCCTGAAGACAATTTATGAAACAAGGTTTCTGTTCCCTAAGTGCCTGTCATAATTCCAGGTGCAGAACATTTTGCATTTTCCCTTCAGGAAGTGGTGATCCTTGGGACGGTAAACAGCAGCCAGGTAACAGATTAACACACTCAGAGACTGCACAGGAGGGAAATCTTGGCTATGATACATCCCCAGTCCTTACAAACAGTGCTCTACTAAACACTTAAATGTCCAAGACAACAGGCTGACTGAGACTGCTGATTAACTACTGATTAACAAATTATGAGAAGATCTTACTGGAACTTTGGCTCTACATTAAAAAAAAAAAAAAAAAGACAAATCCAGCATCATTAAATGATTCTGGTAAATTGAGTTTGAACAAGTGTTTCTCACTCAGTTACATGCTAGGTGGCTCTCCAGAGGTCACAACTGAGCCTACAAACTGCAAGCCATGCTCAGCACAGCACTTGAAGAATAAGTGCCAGCTGCAATTAGCAAGAGATTCTTTTAATCACAATGACACTCTCCACTCAGGCCTCAGACAGCATGGAGAATGAGCCCAAAGGAAGCTCAGTTTTCACGCATGGAGAATGAGCCCAAAGGAAGCTCAGTTTTCACCACAGTTCATTCTGCTCCACACTCCAGAAAAGGCAGCAGTGACTTCACTGAACTGCTGGATCACCTGTGGCTTCTTGGAGAAGGGAGGCTCAGTCTGACCTGCTGTCACAGCATGAAACAAATTACTGCTGGCTCAGAGGCTCACCTGGAAGGAACAGGGCAACAGGTAGCCCAAGGAAATTACATGAGGGCAGTGCACCATGCCATTGTGGCCTGAGCTGCTGCCTCACCCAGTACAGGGCAGGAAAGCTGCTCAGCAGGAACAAGTGCCTGGCTGAGGCAGCAGAAACACCACCAGGCTGACTGGGGAAGCTTCTGGGCAAACTATCACACTGGGATCCAAAGGCATCAGTGTAATGGGACGGCTTGGTGCCTGAAAACAAGACCATCATAATATTCTTTATGAGATGAACCTCCAAGCCTGAGCCACAGCAGGGGAGCCAGAACAGGTTTGTGTCTGCTGGGATAGTAGTGACCTTGTAGATAATCAGTACTGCTCAAAAGGGCAGAACAGATGCCCTTCTGGCTCCCTGGAAAGCAGACTGAGACTTTTCCCACCATCCCACCCGCCTCAGATGTCTCCAGAGAAAAAACAATACCTGGTTTCTTGATTACTCGTACTACTGTGCTGCTGAGATTTGGTAGAATCTGTAGAATTGGACTCAGAGTAGTTCACAGATGAAGGGGAAGAGGAGGAGGAAGATGAAGATGATGAACTCAGTGTTGGGTATTTACTATGACTCTGTTTGCTTTTTGTGGACATGACTCCATTGCTACAGGTTGGACTATCTGCTCCTGAAAGCCAAGAAGAAAATAAAATGAGACAAGACTGACAATGTCCCTCTGTTGTGAAGCCAACAATTTAGCAAGACAGCAGGCCCCAAAGGAAGAAAGCAAAATAAGACTGCTGATCTTAAATTATGATTCATCATTCTTAAATTCAATGGGGTTTCAGAGAAGATGCAAACGAGTATGAAAGGAACCCCAGCTCACAGCAACATCCGAGCTTTGTGAAGTTCTAAAAACGAGCTGTAAATTAGAGATTGGCAGAAACAGTTCACAAGTACAGAAATTATTGCTGAAAGGAGAACTTACCAGGCTTTCCATGATCTATCTAAAGTTAGGGATGTAGGTGATTCACACAACACTCAGCACATAATAACAACCCTCTTAATGAGCACAAGCTAACCTTGCTCAGGAGAACAGAAACCACTGAGAGTCAGCCTTGAAATTTCACCTGCTCCTCCACAAAAGGTGCTTATCAAGCTGCAGAACACACTGACACAAGACACAAATGTTTATTCATTACCACAAGTTTTATATGGATTCAGAACTGACAGGGGCTAAAATATTTTGGAAAAACCTCATTGAGTGCTTGTCTTCTTCATGTATTCTTTGTCAGACAAGCAATATTGATCACAGGACTAAATGATCACATCACTAAATGATGTGACCTGGCATGGCTGCTCTCCAGAAGTGATGGTGATATATACACATTGATCAGCTGACCCCACAATTACGTTTATAGCAGGGAATGTATTTCTATTTTCTATCACAGCAACACAAAAATTCAAATGGGCTGTTTTGAGCATTTTAATGACAAAGACAGACTAGCCTGTTCACAAAACTTCTGCTTCATCTCTGAAACATGCCCTGATGAAATTACCACTCTTTTGAAAGAAAAAGGTCTGACAGAGAACTGTGGAAGATGATGTCCATGTGTAAAGACAAATATGTATAAATGCTGCCTTGTACTGCAGTTGCAGATGTAGACATGGGTATTACCAAGAGCTTTTGTGGACTGATGGGATCATTCTGACTTTCTAGTCAAAGGAACACCCCCAGGGCTTCTCACAACACAACACAGGAAAACAAAGATACTGGCTTGGAAAGGTGAGTGACAGCTTGGAGGTATCCAAGAAATTGTCTTCCTTTTCCTTAAATATTTGCCTGTACACAGTTTGTCACATGCTGCAGTGGGAATTCCAACCCCAAACACACTCAGATGGCTGTGAGCAGCTCACAGTTCAGTGAAGCAGCTCAGCCTGTTTCCAAGGGCCCTGCAGGTCATTTTTCCTGGCTCACTCCATCTCCAAAGCTGCAGTCAGTAATTACCTAAGGAAGATATCTTAGGTGTCCTCATTTATCTTGTTCTTTCCACTTCAAATTCTCAAGTTTAACTTCCCGAACTCCGAAGAGCTGATGCCCCAGAGCTGGGTTTTACTGGAACAGAACTGTTCTCGTTTCAAATGCTTAGAGCCTGCAAGGTTAAGTCCATAGGGTAGGGAGAAACTTCTGTGCAATGCATCCCCCTGACCTTTTGGTCCATTGGAAAAGCAGCTTCTATTCAATTCTTTCTGGAAAGCAATTATTTTGCAGACTCCAAGGTACAGAAAACAGGCTTTGCTTTCCAGACCTCCTCTCAGCACTCCATCAGTGAAACACTGAGTCACAGGTGGCTGCAGAAGAAGACTGCCTTCAAAAGAATCTTTATTCTGAAATAAACTTGCTCTGCAGACAATTGTTGAAAATAACTAATGCAAAACCAATTCTGTGACAGTGTAGAGACACCCATGGTAAAAGAACATCCCCTCAGCTGGGGAAGGAAAGGGAAGGAACATTTCAGAGAATAACACATGGAAAGCAGCAGGTAATGCTAGGCACCACCACATCCACCTTTGCCATCTGCTCTCCTCATCTGGAGACACAGGGCACTTACCAGTACTGTGAACGTGTGAGTTGCTTGATCCATGTCTAGGACTTAAGCTGGGGGAGCCGGGGTAGCTGTCCTGGGATCTGGGGCTGCGGGCACTGAAACACCGCACTTCACTGTCCGTGCCATTCACCATCTCCACAAACTGCCGGCACCTGATTTCATGGGAGGCAAGAGGGACAAAAGGGTGCGTGACAGCCAGGATGCTCTGCACTGAGCCTGCCTTAGGTCCCAAGTGGGGAAGTCCTAGAAACTTTCAAGAAGACATTTCAGACTCCTGATGCCTTTGTACTGTGATTGTTCTGGTGATGCTACGGAGGAAGGAGTTCAGAAACTTCAATTTCGATGCTAATGGATGTTGAGACATACCCAAAAAAGCAAGTTTAATTCCATTGTGCTAAGAAAAAACTGTTCCTTTGCAGCTTTCACCTCCAGCTCTTCTGCAGATACTCCAAAATACAATTGTGGAGCGTTTTTTGTCAGGGAGAAGGTACTAAATCTGTCAAATACTATCATTCCTTCATGACTCCGTCAACCTAAAAATACTGGTGGCCAATGGAAAATAGACAAGGAAGAGTAAAAAATGCAATCCACAGTGACAGTGAGGACAGCTCCTCATTTAGCTTTACTGGGAATTGTCCTCATATGTCTCACAAGTCTGGGGAGAGCCACTCTGTACAGCTGGGAGAACTGGGACACCTTTTTCCTTTAATCTCTACCCCAAACAGCCTTTTCCACACATCTGCCTTTCTAGGAACCTTCACAGTGACTGAGACTGCTCCAGCACTGCAAGATCTCCACAAGACCAGTGAAGAAACTCCTCTGAAGGAATATCTGACAGTTAGCAGAACTAAAATTCAGCCACCTATGCCTGACCTTAGGCATAAGGTCATGAGGCAAAGCTATACTGGGTCTGAGCAGCAACAAAAGGCCTACATCTACTGTGCAGAGGACTCCCAAAGGGAGCTCAAACAGTTTGAATTCAGAGCAAGGTGTGCAGCCAGACTGGATGTTTGGACAGGTTCTTTTTCCCTCCTTCATTTGCACATTTCAGCATTAGGGAGCATAAAGCTTTTCATACTTACTTTAACATGAAGAGCAGGTTGGGGTTATGTTCTAGGAGGCCAGGATAGAGCTGCTGGGTGGCTTCTATAGCCTCTCCCACTCTGCCTGCTAATACTAGCTTCTGTATTCCTGAAAGCAAAAGTAGACCTAGTGACACACAGGACCAGCCCACAGCCAAAAGAGCTGTCTCATCCATTCCACCCAGCTCCCCACCACCACCTTGCACAAGGGCTTGGGAGAACAGGAGACCATATTTGGTTTATTGGATATAAAATATAATCCATATATGGATTAGAAAAGCCCTGTGAAATTGTGAAAGCATCTGTTAGTAGCAAGAAACCATCAAGAGCAGAAGGATCTAAAGGATGAATTAGGTAGGTTGGGGTGCTCTGAGACTTTAGTCCTTTAGTCACAGAGCTCTGTAGCACTGGAAATGAAAGCAGGACATGCCAACTGGATGGAAACAAGGAGGCTGCTGGGGAAGTAACAATTTTAGAGTGCAAGTCCTAGGTGACCCTCATATTACATTCTCTGTCTGGTTCAAGCTTGGAAGCAAAAGTATGGCTCAGAATGAGATAAATGGAGTATTCTTAGAGGGTCTGTGGTCTTAAATCACGGCACAGTACTGCTCCCACCATATTTCTACCACTAAGCAGAAGTAATTATATCAACAAAACTGTGTTCCTCCAAGTCCACCTCAATGTATTTCCAGAGAAGTACACTACAAACAGCTCAACAAGTTGTACACTTCTAGGAGGTGCAAAGACACAAGGCAGAAGGCACTTATCAAGCTGGGTGTTCATGTCCCATGTATGTTCCTTCAGCAGGTCAGAAGACACAAGTGCAAGACTCAACTCGAGATCCTTGAAAGCTCTGAGAAGCTGCTGATCTACAGCAACTCACATTTCTTTTTTCTAAGTGTACTTACAGATAAGAATTAAATGTACTTAAAACTAAAACTGCATTGTTTTTCCAGCACTCCCTATAAACAGTAGAGGGAAGGTCTGGAATGGCCCGTGAGGTGCTTTGCAAGCAGGGCCTCTGATGACAACAGCCTGTGGCGTTTGCAAGGTGTTGGAGCAGTTGGAAGCCCAGTCTGGTAAATCTTCATTAACAATCTCACTAACAAACTGCAATGACTTGTCTTGTCTCCCACTTCTCAGTGTCTATCTGGTTGTTATTGTAGTTGAAATATGGAACCAAAACCGTGGCTCTCACACCAACACAAGAGCTCTCATTTTACTCTCTTGCACGTCCATTTTCTCGTCTCGCTGCTTTTGACAGCTCTGCCTTGCCTTGTTTGGCAACTCTCACAAATGTCACTCCCTTTTATATTTCCCCCTCTTTTTGTTTTCCCATCTGTGTTTTCCTCACACCTTTTATTCAAGCCCCAACTTGAGGGCTTGGTATTCCTTCCCTCCATCTGCCTTGTCACCTGTCCTCAGACAAATGAGCCCGCACCACCTTGCGTGCCTCCCATCAGGCTGTGCCAGTTAAACCCACACCTCTGGGAACACTGGCTGGGGTCAGGGTTGCATAATGCATGACCTGGAAAGCACAAAGCCCATCAGCACTAACAGGCAGCAACTGCAAGTTATTTAAAAGCAGAGTCCCCAAATGAACCCGAATGCTGGCTAAGCACATGCAATGTATGGAGAGAAAGCCACAAAGGGGCACAATGCTCTGATACGTAACAGTCACACGAGAAACAATTCACAAAGGGAAGGGAAATGTACAGGGATGTGGCCTGTATTCAGCAGCCAGGAAAATGCAGAAAACACACCAATGTTCTGCCACTCTGCAGGCTGAGCATGTGAATAGAAAAGCTTAAAAAAAAGATACAGCAGGAGAAAGCTGCAAGCCTTATTCTGCAGGACCAAAAGCGCTGACAGCCCTACCAGCTGAGAGATGAGCCTCTTGGGAGCAAACAGCAGCAACCAAAACAGGCACAGAATACAAATTCTTCACCCAGTGTGAGCTTAATATATTGGCTGTGAATTTGAAAACCCTTCAGCATGTAAAAGTTACCCGAAATCACAGATTTGTGCAATCACAATGTGCAGAGGGACTGGAAGAGTCCTTAACCTGGAGCTGCAGCAAAATTAAAGGGATGTGTCTGAGTCCCTGTGCCCAGGCCAATGGAACTGCCCCTGCTGCAACAGCCTGCAGTGAAGAGCTCAAATCTAAAGGGATCTCTGGAGCACAATTATCTTAGCTCAGGTAAAGGCCAAGCAGAGCACACAGGGACAGGAAGGAACAGGGCAATTCTCCAAGCAAAGACGGAAAAGGGTGGAGAGGGCACAGTGATGATGGGAAAAGTGCTCCTAGCAGAGGTTCCTGAGCTCTATTCCATGGCCAGCAGCGTGCTCTGGACAGCTCTGGACTCTCATGGAGTAACTTCCACAGCACTCACTCCTCTGCAGAGTCCCAAAGGAAGCACACTTGAGGAGTGACGCCTGAGAGACTTACTTTGTCTATTCTTTATTGAGGTCTGTTCTTCCTGGATTGTGGTGTCTGTGACTCTGGCAAAGGCAGTTGCTGTTGAACAGTACCCATGGTGAACCAAATATGATGAAACCATACTAGAAAAAAAGAAAATACAAAGAGATGATGAGGCACTGGTGAAACAGAGTCATCACACTAGAGAAAAAAGAAAACACAACTGAAGTTGCAACTTCACTGAGAAACTCAGCTTGCTTAGGACATAACCAAGGTTCCACTTCTGGGTCTAAACTGTATATTTACAAGACAGGCACCTGGTCCTGGAGGTGCTCTAGGAGGGAGCTCTAAATTCATTTTACAGAGTGGAAAAAAAATTTAAAATATTAATAATCTCAATGCATATACAGTATTTATTTTTGACTGCTGTCGAAGGGTCACTTGTAAGGGCTCAATACTGTGTTACTGCCAGTGACATCCTATATAGAAATAAATCTGAACCTCAGAGAGGTTGAAGGCTTCCAAGTGGATCTAAAAGAGAAGAAAACATTCTGTCCTGAATTACTTCCATCACTTATTTGCCAGCAATTATATCTTTAGTAGTTCAATCTCCTTATGAATTCTGCACATTCACAGATACTTTAATCTGGTGACTGCCAGCATTGATTTTTAAAGCATTAACATGCTTCAAAGTTGTATTTTCAAAAAATCTTGGGGGAGGGAGGAGTATCACTACTAGAAAACACAACAAAACCATCCTCCTAAACACACCATTTCTAATGCACTTGTGCCTTCCCAAGACACAGTGACTCAATGTTAATGCTCACTGGATTTTAACAAAATCTAAAAAGCCAGCAACAGGATTTCAAAGCTTCTCACGATGAATCTCAAAACAGGCTTCTCTCATGATGAAGCTGGCATTGATCTGATCAAGTCACAGCTCAAAGCACACACTCAACTTGGCTACTTGCAGTACAATAAATAAGTATTTTATGAGTCAGCAATCATTTTTAGGCATAATATTGTATGCAGGTGTGTAATTTTTAGAAGTTCTTCTAAATACAAGTGCTTCTGCCCAAGAGCTCTACAGGAGGAACTCCAGAGTGGTGATCCTGACAACCCCACTGTGCACATCAGAAGAAAAAAATTCTGGAGAACACAAGGAACAAAGAAAGGGATAAATTGGTCCCACTGCAGCTGAATCAACAGCTCTTGTTAAGGGAGCTTTTGGCTCTGCAATTTGGTCCCATTTTGGAAGGCAAATAACAGCATCAATAACACTCCTGACCTCTGACAACTCCTGCCAACTGTTCTCATCAAGTTCCACTCAATCATTTTTGCAATGAGAAGTGCTTTCAATATTCATAAATTTATAAAATGCCATAATGCTTTCAGTTAGGTTTGGAAGCCTTTGGTTTAGCCTAATTCTTGCCCTTTCATTTCTGAATTCAGCTGACTTACATACTGGTGTTTCTCCTATGTTAAGAGTTTTTATGGTGTCTTCTCCCCTCCCACAGTGTATCACCCCAAAATATATGTTCTTCCATTCCTACAAGCCTTCATGCAAGCTTTGTTTGAAAAATTTCCCATATCTATTTGAAACAGCAGCAATCTACAGAGGAAAGACTATTAAACAGAACAGAGGGTAAAACAATTTGAGCAAAATGCACAGAGTGGCAATTTTTGCCATAAGAGAGCACAAATTAGCACTTAAGAAGTATTTAAAGGCTAACAAAAGGGAAGAAGCTGAACACCAAGGCAATGACTTACTTCTGCAGCATGGCTTGCCACTCTCCCAGCCTGTCTCCTATGGGAAACCGCTTAATGGTGCTCTGGATCTTCGCCCTCCACTCCCTCATGTAGTCCTCGATGTCAAACACAAAGGGCTGCTGCCCAAAGTTGGCATCCACAATCTCTCCTGGAGTCTGGAGACCCACTGTAGGGTAGAGGTTTGACTGGGAAGGAAGAAAAACAAACCTGTACTAAACATCGCTTTCTCTTTCTGGTTCCAGTTACGTGGTTTGGCAGAACCAAAGAGCTGCTCTTTAAACTGAAATAAATACAATGGAATTAGAAGAGGTAACAGCCCTTTGAGTACTTCTGAAGGAATCCCATGACTTATTGTGCACTTATGAAAAGTTCTTGCATCAAACCAGAACAACGGGCTCAATCCCCCAGCAGCCTGTGATCGAGGCCATGACTGCTGTCTGTGGAGGGCCACTTCTGGCTCAGCTTTCTTCAATTTCTACCAAGCCTCAACAGCCAGCAGATAATGTAACAACAGCAGCAATAATAATGGCAATATATAATAATCATAGTAATGAAATATAGAATAATAATAAATGAGAGGTGTGACATCTTGATCAATGTATCAATGTATTCCCTCCTGTTTCAACTCAACTCTTTCATTCCTTGGAAATTGTTATCTCAGTATTGTACATCTCTGATGAAAAGGGAACAAACAGTGGTCTGAAGTTAGGTCTTTGATGATCCCAAGATCCCAAGATATCAGCACAAGAAATGACACTACTGATAGATAAATTTTATTTTAGGAATAAGTCTATGGATCCAAATGGAAGCTTTGACCCATCACCAGAACATGGGGAAAATAAAAAGGTTACCACCAGGAAAGTGCCTATAAAATTCAGCCAATAATTCAGCTTCTAAGGATGATCTAATTGAAAATAGGTGTTCAAAGTCTATCAGAAGTTTTCTGAATTCATGCTGTTTTAAGAATAAGCTTATGGATACAAATGGAATCCCTGAGCCCACTTAAATGCTGAGAAAAGAGAAACAACATCAGAAAAGGTGCAGGGATGTCTGGTTCTCATCACTGCTCCCATTTTCCAAGAGCATGCTCTATTCCCTGACAAGTTACTTCTGTGCAGCACAAATTACTTCTCTGTTTGCAAAACAGACACAAACTTCACTAATTCTCTGCTTCACAGCATGTGCTGAGAGTCTGCAGGGTGAGGGAAGAAATCTCTTGTTTGGTGTTGGGTTTTTTCCACTTTGCTCTGAAAGAGTGGAGCCAGAAGCTGGACACTGGGCAAGGCACAGGGACATGTGTGGAATTGAAGTGTGGAAGGTGCCTGGCTGTGGTGACTTCCTTGGGGCTGAGCCCTGAATATCAGGTATTAGACCAGTAGAGGGGCAGACCTCTCTCATTAAATCCAATCAAAAACCTAGGATGACCCTCTCCTCCTCTACAGCAAGAAACATGGTCTTTCCTACAATTATCTGGAAAATTTCTTCAACTTAATCTTCACTGTTGCAGAGATGAGGATGATTTAGGCCTGGAACCCAAGAGGGACTGCAGCATCTCTGTTCACATTTTCAAAACTGAACTGGGTAAGAACCTGACCAACCTCCTCTACCTTTGAAATTATCAAACTTCAAAAAAACAAAGGAAAGAAATGAATCTATAAATACAGGCTATAAATTGAAACCAGAGATCAGGATGACTGCATTACTGATGATTCACCACACCTCCTCCTTTCCTATTCCCACACCAAGGAAGTCTCTAGGTCAGAGATGTGCAAAGTAAATGCAGCATGATAAAGGAAGAGCTACCAGAGGAAAATGCTGGAATTACATTTAGTCCTTCCATTCTTTCAAAACTGGCTGACACAGAAATGTCCCTAATGAGGGATCAGATATTTTCCACAGTCCATACTTCAGACTTTTTGTTATCTTCTCAGTATCTTAAACCCCAGACACTTAAAATACTTGGAAGTTGGAAGCAACCCCCCTGCCCCCACAATTTACAAGATGTCATGTATTTTTCAACCACTTTTGGCTATGTTCATCTTTGAGCAGAAGCTGCCTATCCTCCACGTCTCTCAAATCATCTCTGAGGTAAAATTCTGTTTTTCACATGTGGGATGTGTTCTCTCTGTTTAGCAGCTGTTGGGAACTACATGTATCTCCAGCGCCCTGCCAGATGCAGGCAGACACGATCCCAGAGCCCACTGACCCAGGAGCAGCTTTTCCTGCCAAATTCTCCAGGAACACCTTCCCTGTGACATCTGGCCCACCTCTTGCCCTGATGCTGGTCGCCAGTTGCTCACAACCCCCTTGTTAATCCTGACCTGGTTTTTAACCCCCTTGTCTCTTTGCTCTCCTATAATCTCACCCTGGGCTTTTCTGGTATTTTTAATCTCCTATTATTCCTTCAAACCTCCAGGCAGGATAGACTTGATCCAGGCTTGTGTAAATAAGAGTTGGGCCTGAGCACGGACTTAATTTGGCAAAAAAAAAGAAGAAAAGAAAAAGGAAACTCCCTCTTTTCCTCTGTGGGAATTCACTCCAATTTTAAGCAGTTATTTTGGTTTTAACTTCAGCCTGTGCTAAGACAAAATGTGGTTTTTCCTATCACTGTATTTTTGTACAAATGAAAACACCCTTTAGAGGAAACTGAAACAAGCCAAAGAAAGTGTGTTTCAACATATGTGTCTGGTTTTCAAATGAAAGTATCTATTTCAACTTCCTAATATTGTGAATTTTGCAAAATATTGCCTTCTGAAAGGGGAATTTGCCTCTGAAAGGGGAATTTTGGAACAAGCGTTTCAAGGAAATTATTTCTAATCTGGCAATGCTTTGAAGGGTCAATTTAATTCCTTGTGGAATCTCACTGATATGCCAACCCTAACATTTAAGCTTAAAAAGTGTACAAGTAATGGGGCTTACTGGCCAAGCTTCTCCCTGATGTGTGTTACCAGTCAGCTTCAACACCCCTTAGGCTGTAATGCAAGGAAAAGCTCTTCCTTAAAGCCCTCCTGGAGGGGTAAGTAATGAGGAATGAATCAGAGCCAAAAAATCCATGTGGAACTTCTCAAACCAGAGCACTTCAAGGGTCACTCAAGTAAGTCTGCTGTTCCCACTCCTGTTTACAGTTAGATTTTCAGATCTGCAGCTTTAGCAGGTAAAGAACACAGACTACATTCCTTCTCTTTCCTATAACGGATACTTCTCTTATTTACCTTACTGGATACTGTGTTTCAGCCTGGATAACAGAACTAAAAAAAATGAAAAACATCACCTCCATGCGATCAATTTCATATTCTCTACTCCCTCAAGAATTCTACAATCTCTGACAATATTCATTATATTTAAACCAAAGTCTATCTTGGGTTTGGCATTCCCTTCTTTAGGAAAGGAGGTAATCTGAACTGTTTAGAACAACCTATAACCCACGGACAAGGAAGCAAAAAGAGCACATGGAATACATTGGTACCTGCAAGGGTGAAGGAAGAAGGCAGTAATCCAAGGGAAGGATATTGGAAAAGAGAATGCTGGAGTCAGGTGCAGGCATCCTTAGGATGAAGCTGCCAAGAGAGCAATTTAGCATATGCAGAGGGATGTCCTAGAGCCACATGGAGGCAGAAGTCTCCTGTCCTTGTTCACATCCACAGATAAAGGGTGAAAAGACCCTGTCAAGCTTCTCTTCTTCTCTTTTTAGAGAGGAATTATCTCATGAAGGATAATTCTCAATAGTAGGAGGCCTACAGGGCATCAGCTGTTCTCCTCCCTGGCCCAGAAAAACAGTGTTATGGATCAGCTGCTGCTAATAAAAACCAGAAGGGGATTTCCCCAGAAAACAACACAGCAACTGCTTGGTAAAGGCACAGAGACCACTTACACACCATTTAACCACTGGAGATTACACCACAAGGCATCTGCCAAAACCTAGCCTGGCCATCTCCCAGTTTCACACTAAGACATCTCCTCTGCACAATACACACAGACAAGCCCGAGATCCTGTAAGGATGACCTGACCAGATGAAGAAAGAGCAGGATAGGGAGATGTCAGGGGCTCAGGAGAGTTTTGAGTTCAATCTCACTGGCACTGTGAGACCTCACTGCAGCAAACACCCTTCTGTCTGCTCTGCTTCCCAGCTGCTCATCCCCTGCGCCTAACAGAGACTCAGCACAGAGGTGAACAGCTTACACATGAACAGTAAATGTCTGTGTCAGCTCACTGTGCACTCCAGGATCAACAGGATGCAAGCTAAGCTAAGCAGGAGAGGGAATTTAAACCTGCCAAATCTGTGCTGTGAACCTCCATGGCAATACTTGAGCTGTAAATGACAAAGCAGTGGTACATGTGCTGGACAGGTATTTTTGATCAACATGAGTCTAAATACCCTTTGTCTATCTCAACATGGAGACTGCTCCTGTTGCAGAAGGAGAAGCAGTCTAGCCAAATGAAATAACATAGTGGTGAAAAAATTAGAAGGAATATGTAAATCTGTGACAACTAATGCAATCTATATCCAGAGGGAAAACAAACAGCACCAAAAACTAAGGGACACATCAGAGAAGCATCTTCTTGCTATGGATGCAAGGTTATCACAATACCTCACTCCAAAAGGTTAATCTTCATGGAAAGGTAAACTATTCTTGTACTCTAATAAATTGTACTTGGACCAAGTGAATGAACTGCTGTGAAACAACCCACATAAAGAGTTTCTGGTTTAGAACACACTGCAATGTTACCTCAAAGACCCTAGGACAACTAGAAACACCCTGTATTGACAGTTGATGTGAAAAGGCCAATGAAATAACCACAATTTAAGTGCAGGTTGTAGTTGGGATATGGCAGAAATCTGTAAAGCCCTGAATCCTGTTGGGAAGGTGAAGAGGGAGTGCTAGCCATTATTTCTCACAATACAAAAATTGGAGGAACAAGATACATGTTTTCACAGGAAGTACAGAATGAAACAAAGCAACCTTTCCTCCACACAACAGGGAAGTCAGCCAAGAAAATGGATCACTTTGGAGGCCTAAAGAAGTTACCAAAACAAAGAAATTTGTCAGAGAAAATTAATTTGGGGTTATTAAGTAAAAAGACAGGAGTGCAACCTTAGAGACAAGAAGTCCTGTGTATGAGAGATGGACGCAGTGGATGTGTTGATGTATGCCTGACCTGGTTTTACCTTTTTTCAGTGAACACATCCTCCTTTTCCAGGAACATTTGCTTCTAGAAAAGAGGGAACATTTTCTTGTTTGTGACCCTCTGTGCTTTTGTGAGACCTGACTAGACATCAGTGTAACTGTGCACATGTACTCCTCCTCAAAGTGGAAGCTGCATTTGGAAGACAATGGCCTGTAATGAAGTTGGCATCCTTGCTTTAATTCCAGGACAAAGAGCAACATATTCTTAGAGGTGGTAAGGGATGAGAGGAGGCATGTGAATAGCCCACAAACCCAGTCACAGGATTATGAAGTTTCAGAAAAAGGAGCATTCACATCATTCAGTAATGTGTGTTATCATGTTTTTTTCAACAGGGCATCAAACAGAAAAAAAAAAATAAAAAATCACACCCCCACACTCTTCCCCCTCCCTTCTGCTTGCATCCTTAGTTAAAATACTGAAAATAGGTGTACTTACAGGGAGGTCTGTAAAGGCTATACCTGTGGGGGGAAAAATATTAGAATTAAAAAGACAAAGGATTTTTTCCCTGCTTGCCTACATCCTTAACATGCTACAAAACATTACTGCACTTCAATAAATCCCAGCTCTGCCCCTGCATTTCACTACATCATGTATTTAGAAGTAATTTCCCTCCCCAATCCCCTCCTCTGCAAGCTTTTGCATCTGGAGAAAGGTTCAGGAAAAAGCCTAAATGTTTTCAATATCTCTCCCAAAAATCTGATTTTCTGAAAGCAGCTCTTCTTTCCTTTGCTTCTCCCTCTGTTACCATGAAGGAGATAGTTTTCAAGACTTGCTTTGGTGTTAGAAACAGAGTTTTAGTACAAAATTGCTTTGGTTTAGGCTGTAACAGGTTCTTCTTATCAGCCAGAGAAACAGGAATGAATATTCAGCACTTGGCATTGCAGCTGGGGAACAGCCTTGCAACAGGACTGAGCTGCAGCCAGGAGCACCTGAGAAACACTGCAAAGAACAGCCTCATCCTCAACTCGGCTGATACAGTTCCAAATAGAAAAGACAGGAAAAAAAGTGTATGGTTTCCCTTTTTATTTATGTCTGTCATATCAGAAAAGAGCCACTGCCTGGGATGGCTAACAGAGTTTTGGCTAGAGACAACACTGACCACAGCCAGGCTACCTCAGGCACAGCTCTGCATCTGCCTTAGGTGCCAGTTACTGCTCCAAAGGATGGTGCCCACAGGCTTTGGGTCACCCTCACCAACAGCACAGGGGACACTGCTGCCACCACCTCATCAGGCTGAGCTAAATCCAGACTTCCAGCTAACATTCCAGGAGTCAGTCTGGAAGCTGAAGTCTTTCCCCACGTGTGCTCCCAAGAATGCTTTCTTGTCCCCAGCCAGAGGAAGGCTGGTACCCACACCAGTACACCCAGTTCTCACACACGTCCCACCTCTCCTCCTTCCCTTCTGCCTGGCACTGGAAGGCACTGCAAAAGCAGAACACCACCTTCTGTTTTTAATTTTAAAACTATTTTAACCCAGAGCTGCAGTGTAACATTACCAGATCACTCTGAAATGGTAATTTAAACTAGTTTTGGGAGTCGAGATAGGAAACAAGTAATTTCTATTCAAAACAGCATAGATCCAAATCAAATGCTCAGAAAAAAGAAATCACAAATATTTTACTAAACAAAAAGCCCAATAAAGTTACATTAACATCATGGCAGATAGTCAGTATGGTTTAATGAACATCCTGGCAGTTTGGACCTTGTTTATTGAGTACTCTCTTGACAAGCCAACCAAAGATCGTGCACACAGGTGATGTTGAACATGTGGCTGAGGAAAACATTCAGTAAGCATTTCTCTCACCTTGTCACTTTGTCCAGATATTGTTAGTCACTCAAACCCTTTTTTCACTTTGCAATTATTTTGCTCAGCTGGATGAAAAGGTGTTCCTACCCAAGGATGAAAGCTTGTTCCTACCCTTATGCCAGAATGAGGCCAATCTCCTTGAGCCTGCTGTCCACTGGAGTCTTCCTCTACCCCCAGCATCTCTCAGAGCCAAAGGTGGCAAGGCTTGTGTAGCTGAGTGGCTGGAAGCTGCTTCCAGTACCTGGACAAGCACATGGTTTTTGAATGGACTACAAGGTGGGTGGAAAACTGTCAGGATGGCAGAATTGTGATCAGCAGCTCAAAGTCCAAGAGTTGTCCCTCAGGGATCGATGGCAGGGCCAATAGTTTCTTGTCTTCACTAATGACCTGGACAATGGGACGAAGTGTGCTCCCAGCAGGCTCACTGGTGTCACCAAACGGGAGAGTGGACGATGGGCTGGAGGGCACAGCTGGAGAAATGATCCAGCACAAGCCTCCCAAAGCTCAACAAAAGCAACCTAAGAGCCCTGCCACCAGGTTGTGATACTCCCAGAAAACAGGACAGGATGAGGCTGACTGGAGAGAAGGGAGATCTGCAGAAAAGATTCAGGGTCCTGCTGGTTAACAAGTAGAGCAGGAGCCAGCCCATGGGTCCTTGCAGCAAAGGAGATCATCCACATCCTGAGCTGCATTAGTGAGAGTGTAGGTTAAAGGATGGGATTTCTCCCTTCTTTTCCAACACTTGTTAGTCTGCACTTTGGTTATGATGGTCACTTTAGAGCTCCCCAATAACAGGACACAGTGAGACTGAAGGGAGTCCAGCAGAGGCCAGTAAGACAAAGACAGGCCAAGGGAAAAGTCTCAGTTCAGTCTTAAAAACATTTGGGCAGACACTTATTGCTGCCTACAGCTGTCATATAGGAGGGTATAAAAAAGGCTTTTCTCAGAGATGCATGGTGGCAGGAGACAGGAGGCAACAGAGACAAGCTGCAACATGGGAAATTATAATTAGAAAAATTCAGTATGAATTTTGGTCAAACACTGATTCAGGCCCAGAGAAGTCCCCAGGTGATCGCCATTCTTGGAGACAGTAAAAACTTGATGAGTTTGTGAGCAACATGATCTAGTTTGGGCTTGCTTTCAGCAGGGTGTTGGATGCTTGACCTCCAGAGACCCCTCCCAGAGAGAATAATTCTATTAGTCTATAAATAAACTTATTACACGCCTTCACAATGAGATAAATGTATGTTTTTCACATTCTGTTATGTAATTCAGACTAATAAAATGCTTTATGCAGACAGCACTTTGTCTGTTGGACAGATATGTCTGCTTAGTGTGTCTGCATTTGCACTGCTACACACCTGCATCCAGGAAAGCCAACAGCAGAAAGAGAAATAATCACAGCTTGAATGTGAAACTGGTTTTATTTTTTTCTCTGCAGCCCCTCCAAAGCCTGGATCCAGTTTAAAACCACAACCTTCTTAAAGACTTAAGGACTGGACAAACCAAGAGGTCAGGAAGCAAGAGCCAATGTGTGAAGGGCCTTTCCCCTAAGTCCAGGAAGTTGATGTGATCATCAAGGCAGTGCTACAAAGTCACTAAATGAAGGTTCAGTGCTAGGGCACAGTGTGATTGACATCTTCACCTGCCTACCAAACAAAGGACTCCCACTTTCCATGACTGAAGTGCACTCACACATGACCCCATGCACAGAACGTGTTTGTGGACCTTCCAGCCCATCTCTGCGCTCCACCCAGCAACAATCATCCTGTCTCCCTCACCACTGGCCACTTACAGTATTCAATTTGCACAAGACAACATACATTTGGGTAATCAGACACAGCACTCCACTGCCTGCACAGCAGGGTACCCCTCCAGCATGTGTTTAGGTAACTGTGATCCAGAGAATCCTTAAGCAGTGCTGGTGGATTGCAATAAGCACAACACATTCAGCAGTGTGGTCATCCTAAAGAGCAGACTGGCAAATGCCAGCCCAAGAAAATACTTGAATACTTCTCCAACGTGCTGCTGAGGAGAAGCACTGTCAAACCCATATAGCTCTACATGCCCCTGGAAACAGATATCCTCCAACCAGGCCACTTGGATAAAACTGCTCATATTGAGAACAAGGCTGTAGCCAAGTCTGGTATTTTCTGTTCATTTTGGTAGTGAATGAGGGTGGTGAGGCCCTGGCACAGGTTGTCCAGAGAAGCTGTGGCAGCCCCATCCCTGGAAGTGTTCAAGACCAACACTGGGTTGGATGGATGGGGCCCTGTACAATCTGGTCTACTGGAAGGTGTCCCTGCCCACAGCAGAGAGGTTAGAACATGATCTTTAAGGGCTCTTCCAACACAAACCATTCCAGGATTCTATGATTTTAGATTTGATTTATCTGAAGTTTTGTTTTGAACATCCCAAACATCCAGAGGCTCTTACTCTCTGCAAACTTAATTTGAAGCTTTGGGGTCACACCTATTAAACCTAGGACTGACACCTGCATGTGTCACCTATGACAACAGATTTCTATATTACCCCTTATGCTCCTCGTAAACTGGCTTCAGAATGGATATTTTACTTTTTAGGTTAACTTGGTCTGTCCAAGAGCCTGCACTAGAACTCAAACTACAGGAAGTTTTCTATGCCAAGACTTCAGAGGGTTGCATGCTCTTTTTATAGCCCTGCTGCTCCATTTACCTTGGTCTGCTGTCAAAGTCTGAGATCTGAGACACTCCTACATTAGTCCCTGAGCAAACTCATCCACTTAAACCCAGAGACCTGCAGCAGTCACATTTCCTCCTCATGTCCTGGTCCAAGAGTTTCTGCTTAATGGCTGGCGCCCCAACATTTCTCCCTCTTTCTCTACAAATTCACTCTCATCACACTTCTAGCCACATCTCATTATGTTTTTTACTGCCAGGACTCTGCTCAGAACTTGTCAAAAGTGTTTCACCAGTAGCCAGAAGACATTCAAGACATTTTCCAGAACAGAGAATTAAGACTACATACGATGTCAAACAGTTCTCATGTGACGTCTCCAAACAAAGTTCAAGACTTAGCTCCAACCAGAACATCCAGAATTTGTGATGGCCAAGAAAACAGTTCTTATACAGTGCTCCTGATGGATCTGATTAAATGAAAAAGTATGGAGACAATGGAAGATAATAGTTAAGCAACAGAAGAAATTGCAAGGAAAACAAAAGGGTGGTGTCTAATTAATAGATGAAATGGTGAAGAGTGAATTGGAAAGACAAAGCTACAGTAAATCCATTAAAAGAAAGACAAATTCAAACTCTGAAACCATGCTCTCAAGCTAACTGGCCTAACAAAGGGGCTGATTAGTCTCATGAATATTCTTGGAATCTGCAGTAGGATTACACAATTACCTCATCTCCTAGGAGGAGACGTACATGGCTTCCACAGCTTCATGTCAGGGAACACCTAGAAAAAACACATTCATCCCCTTCCTGGTAAACCTTTGCTTTACACAGCATAGAAATGAGATTCTCAAGTTGGCACTAAATACCATGGAACTTCAAGACCTTCAAGGAGTTGCTCCTTTCAGGGAAGAAAGCATTCTGACTTCAAGTAAATCACTGCTCCTTCCTCCATTTGGCCTTGGTTCCTCTGCTGACACCTGTCTCACCTCCTCCTCACAGCTCACTGCTCAGTGCCCACGAGGAGCTGTGTCACCCCTGGTCAAGGGGCTCCTCTCCTCAGCATTCCACAGGAAGCACTTCTCCTGGATGCTGTGTTTCTTTATCAGAGACACAAACAGACACTTCTGGTCCTTACCAACAGCCTCCTCAGATGAGGTTTTCATTCTGCTTTTGTAAAAAGGCAGTAAAATGTTCCTGCAGTTTTTGTGGGGTCACCCAGCAAGGCCTGGGGTCTGCTGCTTCCTTCTGCACTTCCATCCCTGTCTCCTCTAACCACATCATCTCTGCTCCATCAGTACAACCATTATGCCACTACAGCTCAAAGAAAAGCTGCTACACACAGGAGCCAGCTGTGAATGTTAAGGAGAGGCTTCTACCTGTCCTTTTCTCAGAGAGCTCATGTCTTGTACTGTCATCTGAAGAGCTCAAGAGAACACCCAGGGAACAGCAATGCTTATAACTAATAATATAATATTATTTATAATTATATTATTATATTTATATATTAATTATTATAACTAATAATTCTCTAAGCACGGTAACCTTCTTGTCACCTTTCCTGTTTCTTCCCACTGGCACTGCTCACCCCTGGGGCAGGCTGTTCTTCGAGGGGTCATTCAATGTCAGATTAGAAAAACTTGAGCTTTCCATCCAAAAAAAGCCCAATCTTTGAAGGAAAAGGAACACTTAAATTTAAGAAAAGAAGACTAGATAACTTCACTGCTGTAAACAACTCTGAATGTCCCAAACAAAACAAATCTCTGAGCAAGTACACGAGGCAAAGAATCAGAGGGTCATCATGACAAAAGGTAACACAGAAGTTTCTGAACTGGGCTCTTCATTTGGCTTAATCTGCCCAGACATCCAGGCACAACACAGTCCTGGGTACAAAACAGAGAAGGAGAAAGCAGCAACTTTTCAACTGATACAGCTTATACTATGGAGATTCTGGTCATTAAAAAGAAAGTAAATTTCAAATGAACAAACTTATATTCATTAAATAGAAGACCTGGCCTCCTCTTGACTCTCACACTTTTGTTATGATGAAAAGTAACAGCACTGTCAGGGTGAAAAACAATGAAGCTGGAAAACCACTCACTTCAACAACAGAAAACATCCAGAGGAGCACAGCACAAACCACTACAGGGCTTCTGTGTAAATATGTGCTAAAAATCAAGGACAGCAGCTAAAAGGAAAGATTTTGTGAAATCTTTTTAACTATTTCATTACCTCAGTGGCTGTTACCTTGTCTCATTTCTAAGTAAAAGCTCCTGCTCTACACACCATCAGCCATTGCTTTCAAGCCTCTACTTGTCTTACCAGTACTGGACTGACATGGGCAGCCTGAAGAACCCCAGCTCTTCCAGCCTTTCCTTCTAAGACAGATGCTCCAAACCCTTCATCACCTTGGCAGCCCTTTACTGGACTCTCTCCAGTAAATCCATCTCTCTCTAATATTGGGGAGCCCAGTACTTCTCTCAAGAGCTCAGCAGAAATTCTGCACTCTCCAGGCACACTGCACTCCAATCCCACTCCTTCCTTCAGCCCAGCCAGTAACTCAAAACATCTTTGCTCTGTTAAGGGTTTTGAGCAGGGTACTTTTGGTATTTTTCTACCAATTTAATCTTGAATTCAACAAAGTACAATTGACACAGCAAGGAGAAGCAAAGGAAAGGAGTGCCCGTCCCTCCCTGCCAAATCAAATGAATCCCAGCACAAAAAGTGAGATGAACTTATAAAAACTTACTGCACATCTTATGTGACAAAAAAATAGTAAAAAAAAAATTATCTGGGGTGGATAACATGTCATCCAAGGAAAAGGCTTTTTAGGGGAAAATGGCCAAAAATTTTGATTTTAGACAAATAAGATATGACAGATATTTCCAGACATAAGCCTGGAAAACATCTGAGATATTAATTTGGGCAAAAATTTTAAGTCTTTAACTTTAGGACAGTTACTGAAACAAGTGTGGAATGAACCAAACCATAGCTCAGTGCTTAAGTAAGACCTCCTGTGCTGAATTAATGTCTGGCTTTGGGAATGCTCGGACCCATGTGCTGAGGCTTCTAGTCCCTTCAGAAATGAAGACACCAGTACCATGGCTTTGTAAGTAGTTGAACAACACACTTACTATGTTTCCCACTTCTTTCTTTCTTTCCCTGTTGTCCAGTCATTAGACATCTTATCCAACCTCCCACCTACTGTGCAGTAGCAGAGGAAAACAGTAGAAGCTGTGGATGAAATTCTAATGTATCTAAACAAACTGAGCAGCATGGAAACCATTTTACCTGTTGGGAGTATTTCTGTCTTGAAGCCAATTTACAACTGCTGACAGCTGCTGAGTGCTCTTTTCCTCTGCCATTTAAACCTTACTCACAGGTGTGGGACAAGAGTTACGGTACAAGCAAAATATTAAAGAGCAGCGAGAGCAGGGCTGGAGCATCCCTCTCCTGAGAACACCTTCCTTCACTTACCTAAACTGTGGCCATTTTTCGTGTAGAAGCAGGTGTTGTTGATAAGGTTGACACAGCAGCCAATCACATCTCCAGTGGTGAATGTGGGGCCATAGGGCTGCCCTGTCCCCGAGGAACAGAAGGAGTGCCCATCGTCACCATGGTACCCATAAGAATGTTTATCCCATCCTGCAAAAGACAAGGGAAAAGAAGAGGACAGCAGTGAAGCCAGTTCAGCAGAACCACATGGAACTACTACAACTCTCAGGACACAATTTTCTGTGGGAGTTTTAAAATTTGATTCCTACTCCTGATTCATCCCAATATTAATTTTCACATACCAGTAACTGAAAACAAATTAATAGTCTTTAATCAGAACACATCATTTGCATTTCAACCTGCTTCTCTTTTATCTTGCCTGAGGTGAAACAAACTACTTCTGTAAAACATTTGTGTTTCCCAAAAACAAAATCTTCCTGCAAAAGCATTTAACAAAATGATCCTCTGACACTTGCAGCTTTGTCTATAAGAGCTGTCACAAGTGTACCAAATGGAGAGAGGCAATTTTTTCATTCTCAAATCTGTATTTCCCTTCTGCAGTTGATAAGGATTTCTGTTTCCCTTGGGATACAGTATTTCCTGTTCTGCAGACAGCTTAAAACATGACTCTCAGATGTCAAAGGGGAGTTCAATGCAAATGGTCATTTCTAATATTAATATCTTTTATTTCTTCTGTCAGTAACATCGTGCTAAGGCTAACAGCTGGGCTTAGGGATTGCACCCTGTCCACTTGTTCTTTTCTGTATATCCCAGTAACTTCATTTGAAGCATTCCTCTGAATTGCACAATGAAAGCCACATCTCACAGAGAGACAGACTTCTACCAGAAAGTGATACAACACTGAAAACAAGCACCTGTGTTTTATATGGATATGGCTGGATCCTTAGGGAAGCAAAAGAAGGTGCTTTGGCCATCTACTGACCTTATACAGCCAAGGGTAGTGCAGATTCTGTTAAGTGTGGAGTGATGGCTCTGGCAAAGGGACTGTGTAAGAAACACAAAGATTGTGCAGGAAGTGCAATGAGGCACAAAAAGACTGAGCACACTGAGGACTACAGAGCAAAGCCCTGCAAAGGTGGGCTGCAGCACTTCTGAGCCAGAATTTTCCTCCAAAAGCAACAACAATATGAGGGCACTAGAAATCTCATCTTGTAAAATAGTGCTACAACACTGTGGCATCAGCACCCACATGCTCAGAGTTTCTCAGAAAAGCACGAAACAGTAAGTGCATGTCTAAGGCCCTGTTAATTGTACAACACCAAATGAATGCCAGTGGGAAAGTCAGGGAATGAAGCAAGACTGAAACATGTCAGAGTCCAAGATTTTGGACCTCAGAGCAAAGTTTGGAAGTGAAAGGCGTGAAGGACTCCCAGCAAATCCTAGTCTAGAAATGGTGAGTAATTTCCTCTATTTAGTCCCACACATCCAACAGGAACAGACTGAGATGTCCCAAGAGTCAGCTCCAAACAAGCTGTTGACAGTAGCACCAGTCCTGTTTCAAATCTTCATGAAAGACAGGGACAACAGCACAGGCAGCACCCTCAGCAAGCACAAAAACGATGCCAAAATGACTTGCCAAAACAAAGGAGGAAGTGATAGGGGCTCTAGAGTCTGTTGTCAAACTTCCACTGCTAAGACTCCATCCAGTAAAAATATCATTGAAATATTTTCTAATTTTTAAAACTGTGGCTCCTTTCCAATATCCCTTTTATTTCTCTGTTGCCTTCACTGATCTATTATTTTAGACTCCCCAGAACCTGTTATATGTGTGTCAATTCAGAACTGTTTTAATGAAGCTGTTGGTAAGCTGTATTTCAGATGGTAACTTAAATCAATTTATCTCCTAACCTACTCTTAAAACAATCCAAACACAAAATTCTAGGTCTTCAAACAAAACATTTCTGGCATTACAAAGCAGCTAACAAGAACTTGTCATCAGTTACAATTAAGCAGTGAAGTGCTTACACATCATGTACTGGGTAAGGCTCCCATAAGAAATAACACAGCGTGTCCAACTGTGAGGATGAGCTCACTAAATGCTTGTGCCAATGCAGACACTACTGGTTCTGCAGTGCAAAAATAAAGGTTTCATTACCTACAGATCAAAGCTGATCCTACTGAAAAAACCCTCCTCCTACTCCATTATGACTTGGGCTTCACAGTGTCATTTCTTGCTGTGCACTAACGGTGGTGGTGAACTCCAGCGAGAAGTGACTGAATAAAGGCCTTGAAGACAATGACAAACGTGGTACAAACAACAACAATGCCTGGATAAAGCTTGTTTTGAATCTTACTCTCCCCAGAAAACCACTAACATAACCAGTTAAGGAAATTTGCTCACCCAGCACTTTGCTAATGATATGCAGAGTTTACTTTTTCAACTCAAATGTTGTGTAGTGCTGAACCCAGACCTGGCACCACACTAGGGGCTTTAAATCAAAACTGTCAGCCTTATCAGATCACCATGGTCATCTTAAAAAAACAAGCCAGAGCTGTTTGAGTGAACTTACTGTACTCACTGTAAACATAAACTGAGTGGCATTAATTATATGCCTAACCTTAAGTTATTTATTAATAAAAAACAGATCCCTATTTCCACAATTCTGCCCAAAATAAACATGAGGGCGGTGGCATATGGGTCATTCCAGCACTGGCCAGCTCCAGCCAATCTTCTGAAATTTCCTAATAATCTAAATTAAAAAACAACAATCAGCACTTCTAGTATTTCTAGGTCAAAGTTATCTGGGCCTGTTGATTTAAATAGTGTATCCCTACTGGAAGCCTTTGGCATTATCCTGGATTACCAGCAGAGTGGGGAGTAACTCATCACATGTATTTTGAAAACACAGACTCCAAGTTTCCTCAAAACACTTTCTGAAAACTTGGGCTTTTCCTGCACCATTAACAATTTGCTATTGCCACCTAGGAATGGGTCCAGCATATTGCAACCTCCTCTGTGACTCCCACGACAACCTTTGAGCCTCCAGTTACTCAACAGCTTCCTCCTCTACAAAATCCAGCAGTGCTTTAATAAGGACTGAATTGGAACTTCCTGAAAGCCTCCCCACAGCTGCATCTGCAAATTCTCCAGACAGTTTAACCTCTGTGCCACTTGTACTCAAGTACTTGCAGAAGTCACCATTGTGACCTGGAGGGCAGAGATGAGGTGATACCTACATGCTCTTAAAAAGATTGTCCCTGTGGGATAGGGGGCCAGCCAAGACAAGGACACTCCTCAAGAAGTGAGACAGCAGAAGTACAGGATGTGCACATATCACACCCTGACTGAACAGTGCTACCACCTTGCACAGAGCAATGAAAGTGTGCCTCCTACTACTTGGATATATCCTGTAGTTCTTGCACTGGAGAAGATGACAAACTATGGACTTGGGTGTCTCCAGAACATACGTCAGTATACAGACTTCTGCAAAATCCCCCATAATTATCCCTTTTCCAGGCTGATGACTCCTAACTTATTTAGCTATTTCCTGATTTTCTGACATCATCATCTGAACCTTCTCTCGATTTACAGTGTTGCTTGTGAGAATGAAAGTGCCCCATGGAGAAGGGAAGCAGGCTGAAGTTTTCTCTGCATTGTTTCCTAGTCCTCTACAAGTTAATCCTAGCATTTTCCCTTTATTGTCCTTTTTACCATAGACCTGATATTTCCATGAAGTCATTGTCATCACTCCAAAATGCATCACTGCTCTTGTGACAAAGCTCCATTTGCACAGATTCTCATGTGCATCTCCCTGCTGGGGCACATTGCCTCAGCTTGCTCCCACAGCTCCTCAATCTCACACCTCCCCCAATCTCACAACCCTCAGCAGCTCCAGCAGTCCATCCCTGACAGAGAGGTGCAGGCAACTGCTCCTAAAAAAACCCTGGGAGAACCCATGCACTGACAGTTTGTGATTGGTAGCTCATTCCAACAAGGCTGTTTAAAGAACATCCCATTCTGGTCTCTTGGTGATAGCCATGTCTAGAGCAATGGACACTCAGCACCTACGTGCAGCTGTGGCCAAGTTAAAAATTCTCAACTGCAAGTGCAGATTCCTCTCAAAATTTCAAAAATCTGGACAAAATTGGAGAATGTGCTTTTTCTTATAAAACACAGATCATGGACTCCTGATGGCCTATACTCTATAGACCAAAATCAAGTGACCTAGAGTGGCTGCAGAGTCCAGTTTACACTTCTTTCCCTCTTTCCTTTCCCTTCCCCATCCTCTCTTCAGAAGCACAAAATCATTTTAAATAGGGGAGACAGGCAGAGAACAGAAAGGATTTGGCTACCTGGCCCATGGTAGTGGTCAAAGCAGAACCTCAGTGTCCCAACTCTAAGATTGTTCTCACTACAGCTCAATTTGAAGGCAGCACTTTGAACATGCAAATACAGAATCACAACCACTACAGGTAGGACTTCAACAGCTATTGAGCAAAAAGAGGTTAAATTTACATCCTTTTGAACTGAACGCTTCAACACCCAAACCCAAAATATACCTATATATTTACTAACAAGATGCAGAATAGCTCAGATTGTGCAATCAAAGAATGGGAAGACAGAAAAACAAAAACCCTAAGTAGGGCTTGGTAGGACATTTTTTTATGTTCAACACCAAACTGAAGTTCTGTTTGGCTTGCTAACAAGAAAAAGCTGATATGCTGACCTTCTTGGCAGACTACCTGGATCCCAACACGTAGGGGAAAAAAATGAACAGCAAGTTCCATTGCTGCTGCTTGATAAACAGGTCAGAATTATGCAATGCCAGACACGTGGCAGAAAGGACTTGAGTTACTTCAGGACATAGTTACAGGATAAACTGATAAACACTCACTCTTAAGCAAGCACCAGAGTTAGATGTAGTGTGCTACCACTACCCATGACTATTCTACATCTGTCCCTGTTCAATCCCAACTTTGCCATTCAACATCAGTCTCGCTTTACTCTTTGACTTTTTGGTCAGATCCTGACTTCTGTACCTGAGATCAGACTCTGCCTCAGAAGGCAGCAAGTGGGAAGTAGCTCTGTTGAGTCAGATGACCATTTACACCTCAGCACCACAGAAATAACACAGTGATTTAGCTCTCTGCTTCAAGAGCCCCACCACTGAACACAGAATTTGTGGTAG